AACAGACTCCAGTAAAAGCAAACATAATACATAGATGGATTCCTGTCGCACACCACAGCACCAGAAGAGGATGAAAAATCATCAGTTATTAAGACTTTGTAAAAAGTGTTAATAAACCACTATAATGCCTACTATATGCTCAAGAGTGTCCAAGAGTACACAATGGTCAGAGTAGTCATCGTGTCATAACCAGCCAAGAGAAAGACTGAACTATTGTGGTTTATAGCAGGGGTTCTCAACTGGTGGATCGCGACCCACTTTTGAGTCGTGGACTTGTTCTGGGTGAGTCGCAGACAGCTGGTCAAAATTAAATAATATATAATGTGCGTCTCAGGTTGGACTTATTTTTTAGTTTGAAAAAAACTTTTATTTTGACAGGCATCGTAACCATAGTAACTATTCACATTTTTTTTCACTGAAAAATAGTGATCACAAATCTATGGAAATGTCACCAATCCTCAATTTTTCAGTTTTCCTTCTGACGAGCATACAAATTCTTCTAATAAGAAGAAGAAGAAGAAGAAGAAACAGAATCTATCGTCAGAGAAGACTGAGATGAATTGCTCTTGCTAAACTGGCAAGACGTCGTCAACTTGTAAGTGAACACACTAACATGATTGTAGTCTTTACATGCTTATTTACAATAGATACATACATTAACTATCTCTGAATTGTCAGTGTGACATTAACTATGGACCATAGACTGTACATATCCTATGGTTCAGACTTCAGCCCCTCTTGGGAAAAATTAGCACTGATACCACTTTGCTTTCACAACTTGTACAGTAAACTGTTAGACCAGATTTTATGGTTACATAGAACTGTGTCATGAACTGATGTAAAAAAAAAAAAGAAAATTCTAAGTTTGAATATTTTTATTTTCAGCATGCACAATCATCTCAGTACTGTGAACTCAACAGTCATGTTCCACTTGTTGCCATGTTCCTGGATGGCCAGAGTGACCTGCGGCCTGACTTCCGCCTCTCCAGACCCACAATAAGCCACCTAACCCACATCCTCTGATCTCCATGTGACCATGGCTGGGGTCAGGAATTAGAGGTTCTGGTATTTCTTTTTTGGCTCGCAAGTGCAACCTCCTACCGTATTGTGTCCAGAGTGTTTGGCATCCCACGCTCTACAGTGAATGACATCATTCACAGGGTTGCAGACAAAGTCATCGCACTCAAAAACAGGGTCATCTGCTTTCCATCAGCAGACGAGCTTCCAAGAATTGGTGCTGGCTTT